AGGAAAAAGGCATATTTAAGCATCTGTTGGAAGCCTGGTGCATGAAAGCATTTTTCAGTTTCAGTACCATTTCATGTCATTCTGACTGACCATACATTTATTTGTTAGTATAGTATTGACATTTGCTCTGTGTGTGTGCGAGTTTCCAAAATGAGTCCCACAACCGGCATCTTGCGGACAAAACAAGAATTCTCTCATGAACAGATGTTGCATCTGTTTTCAACAATGCAATGAAACTGTATTCATGACTATGAATTTGCAGCTTCTAAGTACACATGATATTGGATGTGCCTTGATATCCTTGTGTTTAAGTAGGCACAATTTCATAAGAGCCAGTGTTCTGTTGTGGTTAAGAGTAGTGGGCTGGGACTCAGGCAATTTGGGTTCTAGTCCTGCTCAGCCATGGAACTACCTGGGTAGCCTTGGGCCAGTCAGACTCTCAGCCCAACCTTCCTCACAGGGTTGTTGCTGTTGTGAGGATAAGATTGAGAGGAGGAGAATTAGGTAAACCGCCTTGAGTTCCTTTAAGAAAGGCAAAATGTGGATAGAAATATAATAAATAAATATAAGCATTGTATATCCCCCACACACACTGCATAGATGTTTGTGACTATCTCATCCCATAATTTCCAGGAATCCTGCACTCCCCACGTCAAGGGCTTTTTACTTGTTTGCTTGCTTGTTCTCTTATTCCATTTCTTTACCACACAATAGTCAAAACTCTCTTCTTGACATCAGCACATGTCAGTGCGGGAAGAGTGTTCCTGTGGCAGAGCTGAGGGTGATGTGGGACAAGCCAAGCCTGACAGCTCGCAGAGGCGGGGAGTGAGCTGAACCGGGCTTTACATTTGCACCCAGGCATGGGTGCCCAAGCCTTACAGCTGGGCAAAGAAAGCTCACAGTTGGAAACAGGCCTCTGATTCTTTCCCAGTCACTGCTTTGAAAAAGACACGTCTTGAATTTTAAAGCTAAGCAACTCCCAGACTTGACAAGGAGTGCATGCATTTTGTATGAGGCCATCCGTAACCAAAATCAAAATGCAAAAAAAATACTGGCCTAGCGGGACATTGTGTATTTAGTGGATGGATGTCCCTGTCTGTAGTTTGAGTTGGCCCCACTGATGATGCACACGTGACCCATAGTGAGCATCGCAATACTGTGCAGGGGTGTTGCCATCCACAGCTTTGTGTTAACTGACATTTTTATGAGGCAATTCACAGACATCTGAGCTGGCCTCCTAATTACATTGGGATGAGTGACCATTTTAAATAACTCCAGCAGAGGGTGCAGTTGGCTTGTGTAAAGCCATGAACAGGGCAACTATTTCTGATGTACCTTCTCTTTCTCACCCAGTCAATGTGGTGGTGTGCTTTCCTTGGATCCTTTACAAGGGAGAAGTCAAGGGCCACTCACACCCAGGGCTGAAACCAGCCCTTCCAGCTTGAGACGGTCATGGCACTGCACTTACAACTCTTCAAGCTACTAAACACCAAGAATAGCAGGTTACCTGCTCAATGGATGTATTTCCACACGTCTCCAGTGCTCTAGGATCTTAAAGGATGTTGATAGGATCCACACCTTACAAAATACTACATTGCTGTGGGAAACAGGTGCCAAGTATTCTTTCTGGTGGCCAAGTATCCATAATTTACATCCCTTAATAATTAGGGAGCTTTTTAAACCATCAAAGGGATTTTCTGAGGGGTGTAAGAGGAAGTTCAGGGCAAGCATCAAGAGTAGGTATGGTTGGGCACATGCCAAGACCCACACCCAAGCAGGGGCCCACTCCTCTTCACCCCAGTGTCTGGCTTCTCCATCTGCCGCTAACTCTGGCCCAGACAGTGGACCAGTCACTGCTGCTGCCTGCCTGTGCATGCGTTCTCTGCCTGGCATGGAAGCAGGTAGTGACGAGGCTGCAGAAGAGGCTGAGCTGCAAGAGCAGCTAGCAATACAGGCTCCCGTATCATATGTTTTATTAGCTGTTTTGAGTTTGGTTTAAAACTTTGTATTTTGGTAAATGTCAATGGTATTTTATTGTTTTGTTTGTTTGCTTGTTTTGGCCAGAGCCTGCTCAGAGAGTTTCGATTATTGGATGGTATTACTAGTAGTAGCATTAGTATTTTTATTTTTATTCAACCTCATTTTAATTGTTAATGTTATTTTTATTTTAAAGTTTTTTGGCCAGGGCAACTTATTTTATACAGTTACGTGTATTTTATATTGCTATTTATGTATTTTAATTTATTTATTTGTAAGCCGCCCCGAGGCTTCAGTGAATGGGGCGGCCTAGAAATTTTCTAAATAAATAAATAAATGTATAATGTCAGTGAAAAAATAGACTCACTAGTTCACTGAGGTTGGCTTGCCCAAAGGCCTCCCAAAACCTGGAGCCAAAACTATCTAAAAGCAAGTTTGGGTTTACTTTTCATACATAAGATGCCAGATAAGTTAATCACAGCCATTTCCAGGGAGCCCCTGCCATGTCAAGGGCAGACTCATAGTACCAACAGAGTTTGCAGTTCTGGGTTTGCAGCCTTAGTCTATGTTTATCCCCTTAGATATACATCCCAGGATTTCCAATAGCATGGCCTTTCCAGTAAATATGCATAAGATTGTAATCTTGTTGTGAGCAGCCATTTTGCATGCTTTGTTAATTAGTATTCCTGGCAAGTTTTCTACTCAAGTTAGTGTTGAGGCAAAGAAAATGCAAAAGAAATGTAAAAAGCAACAAGATGTAGTCAGTCAGAACAACTATTAAGAAGCCCACAAAATAGAATGAAAGTTCTCTTGGAATCAATGGACTGAAACCAAAAATAGGTTCAGTAAATGCATGGGACTTAACGTGCAGTGGGGTTTTCATTTGTGCAGCTTCTTTGGCAACACAAAGTAGCAATAAAGGCAGCATGCTCTAAACTGGGGTGATCGGGAGAGATTAGGAACTGTTTGTACTGTTCTCAGCTTCTATTTATTTAAAAAATGCATTACCCTGTATCAGATTATCTCTCCTTGCTCTCTGAATATATTTGATGTGTCCACCATAGAGTTCATACAAAGGAGCTGTGCATGATTATTTAAAGCAGTGACATCGTCACTGCAGAGGGCTTGGGAATGTTTGCTAAATAGCAGAAGATCTTTGTACTGTTTTCCCCCTTCTCCTTTGAAGCAGCATGGCTGACAGGTGCTGCAGCAGTCTTCATTCTCATCCCAGGAGTCAAAGCAAGATGGTGGAGTTGGTTCTTAATGACACTCAGGACTGGCCATACCTAGCTTGTAAATGAGAGCCCATGTGGAGTGTTGGACTGCAGGATCTGGCCTTTAGTCCCCACTCTCAGCACAACCTCCCTCACAGGATTGCTGTCTTGAGGATAAAATGGAGCTATATAAGCTGCCTTGGGTTCCTCCCAAGGGAAAGAAAGCCAGGATGGACATGCAGTATGATCACTGTAAAAGCCGTCATGCTTAAACACCTGTAAGTAAAGAAGCAACTTACATTGATGTGCCTTTGGACTGCAACATGCACAGATACTGTAGGAAGGCGAAAGGCTGTGACCCTGCTAAGTCATGTAGGGGGAGGAAATATTTAATCTTCTTCAGAGTCCTTATTATATGTCCCACCACAAGGAAGTTAGGTTGATGGGGACATGAGACAGGGCCTTGTTTGTGGTAGTTCCCCAATTTGTCTAGTTTTAGGTAAGCGGCAGAGCAGGGATGCAGTGCCTCTTCCAGCCTCAGATCAAGTGCCATTTTGAAGACTCTTTCAGCAGCAACCATTTCAAGGTGAGCAGGGCAAGAGGTGGAGCCCAAACAGTAGAAGTGGCACCCTGGTGTAGCTGGAAGTATTGCAAGCTTAGGAGATGTATGGCAACTATGACGAGTCGGAGGAGGGACTGCACAAAAGCTGGGAAACAATTCAGCGTTCAAGGATGAGGGCATCGTCACCTGGGGAACCCCAGTGGGGCAGATTTGGCCCCGGGCTTGAGGTTCTATGCCCCTGCTGTCAAGCGTGCCAAGTAACGTATTTCATTCCACTGTCTGATTGTTTGAATAATGGTTTGTGCTATCTTTAAATAGATTGCTTTATTATGAGAGTGTGTTTAAAGTTATAGATCCCCTTGCATGGAATGCAATGGATGCAGCTGCAATTCATGCAGTTCGTGAATGTGCTAATGGAACGTGAGGAAGAAAGAAAAGAAGAGCAAGTGAGTGAGCAACAGGCAGCCCCCTAGTGGGGATCCATTTAGGAAGCTGAAAATAGTAGGACACATTAGGGGCACAAGCTCCAGCCCTCTGCTTTCCTCCAGCTTTAATCACACACGGTGACAGTGTACACGTGGCTTTATTTCACAGCATGAAATATCAGTCCACAGCTCTCCCCCTCTTTCTGCTGTGACAGGGCAAATGACACTTATCTGCTTCACACCTTGGTCAAACTGTAATGCCTAAGTGGTTGCCATTAATCTATAGCACCTAAGAGTTGACATTCTAAGCATATTAATCACCAGTGGAGGGTCCCTGGTATCAGTGGGACTTCCTCTGGCAAATGAGCTTAAGACTGGTGTGTTAATGTGCTAAATAATTTGCCATCTTTCTCTGGTATCTCTGCCCAACAAGAGAGCTCATTAATGCTTCAGTTCTGCAGAAGCCCAGCTGAGGGGAGGCCATCATCGGGCCGTTTTCGTGAGCTGATTCCAAAGGAATACTGTCTCCTAGGAGCACAACTGACTGCTTTGTCCCTGGACTACAGTATCTGTCACTAAAAGCATGCAAGCATAAAAATCTACACAAACTCAGCAGGGTGAATGTCCTACAAAGACATGAAGGCACAAGCACGAACCAGAGCACGGAAGCAAGAGACTTCGTCATGTAACTATCAAGCAACAGAGGTTGGAAAGGGCTGCATATCTAACAGTCACATCTTGCAGCCTGGCAGAAAAGAAATACAGCACACTTCTGGCAGTGTTTAAGGGCATTTATTATTATTATTATTATTATTATTATTATTATTATTATTATTGGGTACAGTGTTTGGAAAGCAAAAACAAAAACTGATCAAAATTCATATACACTCAGGCACATATTTCTTTCCGCAGTGCACAAGCAGTGATGCTTTGAACAAACAGTGGCTGGATCTGTAAGCAGAATCTGTGTTGGAGCTGTGCATGGGAAGGATCAAGGCTCTGGGAGACAGTGCAGCGTGTGCACACACATGCAGGCACACCTGCTGTCCAACAGTCACGAAAAGTTTCTTCCCTATCTTCACGCCCAGTCAGTCAGTCATAAAGCACCAACCGTAAACTGGTGTCCCAGAAGCAAACGTTTCCTAAAGGTACTCCCCAAAAGGTAGCTTCTTGCCATAAACGATGTTGCCTCGAGCATCAGCTTCTCTCTCTGCCCCTTCCCCCTTCCACCGACACCAAGCTGGGTTGGCTAAGGTCGGGCGCAAAGGGCACATCTCTTCCCGTGTTCAAAGTAACAGTCCTTGCCGGAATCGGGAGAGCAGATTTAAATGAAGAGGTGTGCACACGCATTGAAGCTTCCCAAGTCTTGGGCTGCACCTCAGATCTGAATGCATGAAAGGGGCACACAGGTATCTGTGGTTGGGAGCACTAGGAGTGAGTTCACTAGGTCATGACAAATCAACATTCACAAATGGCTCCTCAGCCCCCCACCCATGTTTGAATACCACAACACTGATGTGGAGGGTGCAACCTGTATCCAGCCTGCCTTGGTCTGGCAAAAGCAGCCCTCCTTGCCTGTTCTTGCTCGTACGGTTCAGCAGACGGTGCAACTGTTGGCTTTGTTCATGGGTGGCCTGAGCGGAGGCTCCTTGGGAAAGGTCTCTCGCCTTCTGCGCAGGGCAGGGCTCAGCCGGCTCGGTAGGTTGGCTTGCTGGAGCAGCTCCGTGAAGACCTCCACCACGTTCTCGTTCTCCTTTGCAGATGCCTCCAGGAAGCGGCTGTTCCAGTCCAGCTCCACCAAGGAAAGGGCGTCCTCGGGCAGCACTTGCCGTAGCCCACCAGCCTCTGCCTTATTGCCTACCACCACGATGGCTGGGAACTTGTCCTCTTTCAGCTCGAGGATCTCTTCATGCAGAGCCTTGACGCATTCAAAGGACTCTGCGTCGTCCACCGCATAGACCAAAGCAAAGGCGTCGCTGTTCTGGATGGAGAGCTTACGCATCGCGGGGAAGGAGTAGCTGCCGCTGGTGTCCAGGATCTCCACCTTGATGGTGGCCCCACTCACCTCGTACTCCTTGCTGTGCAGCTCTTCAACGGTCCGCCGGTGCTTGGGCTCAAAGGTGTCCTGCAGGAAGCGCCGGATCAAGGCTGTCTTGCCAACCCCGGCTGCCCCCAGGAACACCAGGCGCACCTGGCTCTTCTCTTTCACTGCCAGAGACATGCTGCTATGCCGGCGTGTCCCAAGCCCCAGGTGTGTGTGGAAGCGGGGCGCTTTATGCAGCTTGGCTTGGAGAGTAGCACTTCCTTCCACTGCAGCTCCACAGGTTTGCCTCCACCCTTGCTCACCAACTTCTGCCAGCTGAATCGGCGCTGTGTGCTCAGTTTCCCAGCTTGTCTCCCCATATATTTATGTTTCTTCCTGCCACACACGCACACACACACAGTGCTTTGGCTCTCTCTTCCAATCTCCGCTGTGTAGAAGGGGGAGGGGGGAGGAGTGCAGGAGATGGGAGGATGCTCTGGGCCAATCAGCGGAGTGCTGCCCTTGAAATCCAGCCCAGCCCCTGGAGAGGGAGTGCGAGGCACTAGCATGCATGGCGTGGAGCTGAGACTAGGGCTGGTTGCTGGAAGGAGCGTGGCTGCCTTTCAGCTCCTGACTGGCATGCTCAAGCCCCAACCTTTAGCCCTCCTCTGAGATTAGCCCACGTTAGCAGGCAAGACCATCTTGCTTTTCACAGTTCCCAGAAGGTCCCCCAGCCCCTTTTAGTTGACAAGCCATACTGTAAGAGGTGGTGGAGCTCACATTTCTAAGCGAACAAAATTTTGTGCATTTTCAGATGGAGCCGTTGTGTAATTTGGGTTCCTTACACTTGCCATTTGTGGCTCATTGTGGGTGGGAGGGAGGGAGGAGGGAATGAAGACAAGCTTCTAATTCCATGGGGGATTTCCGGCTTTTGCTAAAGTCATGTTTCCTTATGCAATTCCAGCTTTTGCTAAAGTCACAATTCCTTGTGCAATTCAAAAACAGGGCAAAAAGCAATCAATATTTGGACCCAAATGGGTATTTATTCAATATCAGTTCAATTCATGACTCAAGTATCAGAGCAGAGCTCTTTCTTTTGCTTAATTTATATTTAAAATAAAAGAGCTGGAAGAGTTCTGAAGATAATTGGTTCCAGTTAGCTAAACCGGGGTGAGAAAACTCAGCTCCGTTCCCATTCTGTCTACTGAAGTGACCCTCAGGGCTCTGTTCATAGAGCCTCACATACTTTGCAGTGTGGCAATGCATCATTTCTCCAGGCTATCAGCAGCCAAGGACTGATGTTTTGCGGGGAATAGACAGGAGTGAATGCAAAGCAATACCCTGAAGTCCAAAGGTCCCCAAAACACCCTTTGTTTACCTTTACAGTTTTTCATGACAAAGCTCTGCTCAGCTGAGTAACTACAGAAAAGTGAAACCATGCAGAACCAAGCAGGGAATTTCCACTTCGGCCTAGGATCACATGATGTTTGTTGATACTGCGTTCATTTTTATTATAAATGGCTGGTGCCATGCATGCTTTTAACCTTATTCACTACTCATCAAAAGATAGATAGGGTTTTCCCATGTCTCCTACTCGAAGCAGATTCCAAGGCTGTGGCCAGGTTTGAAAGGCGTGAGGGTGATTCACAAGCCCCCATGGTTTGCAAACTGCCCCTACATGTGCTGGTTGCATGCCAGCTAATTTACTTGATTGTCCTTGCCAGGTGTGGCTTGCCGTGTGAACCTGGTGAGGGTGCACAGGTGGGGTGTCAGAAACCACACAGCAACCCAGAACTGGCTATGGCAACAGGGAGCTGGTTAGCAAGCTACTGGGGCTTATTAATCACACTCGTGACATGCACAATGGCTCCTTTGAAAGCATTGTCATTATTGTGATGCCTGCTGTGTGCACATCTTCATGTTCATTCCATTTCTTCCCCTGAGTCAGGGCGACTTTGACATTTCCCCCTACAGGGGTTCCATGATAAAGAAAAAAAGAAAGAAATCCATGGAGACCAACATGTTTGAAAATCACAGCAGTGTTTGTTGTGCCAGGAATGGTACAACAGAGGACACAAGTGCAAGATGTTTCCCAATGTTAGCACACCTGGCAAAACTGAAAGTGCAATGATTTTCCTAAGTTTCTCCAGAGATGTCCACAGAAGGCAATATATTTTCTTGCCTTGGCAAACCCGGGCTAAGAATAAAAGAAATGAGAACAGGCAATGCTGCACTCGGCTTCACATCTTCTGTCTGTCCGTCCGTCTGTCTGTCTTTCAGAATGTTTTAATTCTCCCTCCCCACCCCGTAGCCCCAGTCTATACTCACAACATTTAGAAAAAGATAACCAACATCTGCCCACAAAGCAAACACCAGGCTGCTGTTTAATTGTGGACAAGTACCATAAAAGAGGGATTGCTCTCAGTAAGAGGGGACAGCATCCCTCATTTCCATATTCTCTGTGCCTCCCAACAAAAGAGGAAAGTTAGGCTCCCAGCCCTGACTCCAGGGGTGCTGAGCCCAGACCCATTTCTACATGGCACTCCCTGTTCTCCAGGCTGTGGCTGCCACCTTGCACCAAGGTGGGAAGAAAGAGCTATCTGTGGAGCCATCAGGACCACCTGTTACTCCAGGTGAAAATGAAAAGAGGGAAAGGGAGAAGGAAAAGACCATGGTAGGGGTGGACCAGCCCCTTTTCCCAGAACTATTTGTCTTTCTAAAGTGGATTCAAGTTTCCCAGAACATACCTAGTTGTGTTGCCAGTTTAAATAGGCTCATTTGTGAAACTTCCGTCTCTAATAGGGATTTTAAAGGTTGCGTTTGTCTTTCTCACTCTCCCTGGCAGGTGTTCATGAAACTCTGCTTTATACCATTCTCTTTCATTTAGTGTAACACCAGTAGCAGACCAGGGCAAACCCCGCATTTCCTGCCTCCTACCTGAAGCCCTCTTCAAACAACTCATTCCTTTAACTCTTGCTTTGCCTGTTGTCCTTTCTATTCTTGGAGGAGTGGTTTTGCTTCCAGCTCCCCACAGCCATAGCCAGGACAACCAGTGGGGAGGCCTGATGGGAGCTGGAGGCCAATAAGTTGCCTTCCCTGGCATCACCATGAGTAAAGAGTAAAGCGAAAAGGAGGGGGACTCTTAATGTGGAGTGGCTGGGGTTTTGCTGCCATTCTCCAGCCTTTTCCTTGAGCAGTATATAAAACATGTGTAAGTTCTTCTTGTGTATACAGTAACATGAGAGGAGGAGATGCTGCTGGAGAACTCCAACCCATATTGGTGACCCCTCCATTCCTGCAGCCAGAGAAACTAGCAGAAGGATTTTTGTCTGTGTGTGAAGAGACTGAATACAGCAAACACGCTGCTCCCAGATGAGACTTGCATCATGCTATCAGCCTGCCTCATTCACAGAATTTTAGGACGAGTCTAGATGACAGAATTTTTAAACAAGGCATTTATCATGGTCCCTTCATTCCTTATGCACAGTTGTTTGCAGGTTCTTTGGACAACCTCATGATGACCCAGTTTTACTTCATTGTCCAGTTAGCACCTTTAGGGGTGTGTGTGCGCGAATGTGTGTGTTATGGGGGGGGGTAGGCGGGGGGGCAGGAGAGGTGTTTGGTTACAGAGCAGAGAAGCTACTTTTTTCACTCGTGTAGTTGCTCTACTCCTTTATACCACAGTGCCACCTTGGGGCTCTGTAGCGGCAAAGCAGGCAACTAATCTGGTGTAGTGCTTAGATTTCAGTTCTAAGCACTTGGACGTCAGATTCCATATATAACCTTCCTGTATGTATTTGCACTTCTTCCATCCTTTTGTCTTTCCAAATCCATTAAGAAGGGAAAGACAGAACATTGCAGTATTTTTGACTGGCTGCGCTAGGAGCTGTCTGTATGCAATTTATCCTACTGTTGGTCTCACCATACCATGCATTTCCAAAGAGCATGGACACAAGGTCCAAATGGCCGTCCAGCCTCTGCACAGCCCCCATTTATCTAAACGGACAAGGAGTAATTCAGAACTAGTGCTGTGCTAAAACCCCACATCTCTTTGGCAGCCTCTTTGACCCCTGCAAAAGAAAGATGTGGTCGTTTGCTTGCCTCTTTTGGGGGATTTTGAGAATTTCAGAGAAACGTCTCAGTCTCCAGGGCATCTGTGCTCATTTCACTGTAAGGAGGGGGCTGAGGGAATGGTGTGTTCCTTAGTTTGCCTTCCTGCCTTCCTTTTAGCTCCAAACCAAATGCCTTCAGCAGATTTGCAAACAGCACAGGACTCATCTTGGAAGGGAGCAGCAGAGTCTTTCCACGTGAACAGACATGGGCACGTGTGAATGCTGTGTCCCAGAAGGGGTGATGATGGGGAAGTGAGGTAGGTGGACAACACCCAGCCAGTCAGAAAGTGCAGTGTGGGGCTCCCATGAGTTGGCTGATGCCTTCAGGGTTGGGGGCCTAATGCCTTGCCATTGATAGGACAGGATCTAGAGAAAAGAAGGGGAAAGCATTCCTGCTGTCATTCAAGCAGAGCTTTTCTTGCTTTGTTGTAATGGAAAGCAAGAGCCCTTGAGAGAGGAAAGGCTGTTTGAGGGGGCTTTACCTGGGATTTGGGGCCTGAATAACTAGGCTGCCTTGTGCATGTGAGTGCATCTTGATGTGGGGATGAAGGCGCAGGCACTGTGAGCTGCTCTGCCTCAGGCCAGTTCTGCCTGGCATGCCCATAGCTTTGGCGCATTTCCACACGAGGCAGTCATGGTTCCTCACTGTAGCTTGCAGCTGCTTTGCACAACATCGCCATCTTCCTTTCCCATCTTCCAGGGCCTCTCCCATGCTTTCCAGATACTTTCATTGGGGTTTTTTTTTTTTTTAAAGCTAAGGAAAGTGGTGGTAGCTGGAAATGCAGTTCCTCTGCACTGCTGCACTGCCACCTTGTGCTTGTGTAATGGAACATGCAGAAGGAAACATCTAGAAAAAGAAACCTGTGTCAAGGAGCAGATCTTAAACCCAGAAAGAATCCAGACGCAGGAACCTCAGGCTAAAAGGCTCCTGTGGAGAGGTTCTTGTTTATTGGCACTTCTGCATCCAATTGTATCTACCAAAGCTTAACCAAGCGATCAGTGTTTATGGAGAGAGTTTGTTTCATGTGATCTTTATTGCGACAATTTATGGGTAGAGAAATGGACTCACGAAACTTCAGGAAAAGCAGATTTACAACCCGATACCAGATGTTAAGACAAAGGCCAATTTGTGTCATGTACTGTTGCAGCATATTACTGGAAGAGGCAAAAGCCAGCACACATCAGACTTAAGCAGTCCTCTCTAATAAGGATCAAAAGTCCTTCCTTGTTTCCTAATGGACTCATCATCATGCCAGTTTCTCTTCTA